TCACCATTTTCTCCCCACAATATCAAATATGAAAACACCGAAAGAGTGATAAATACTCAGGATTAGAATCAACAATATAAAGGGCGACTACCGGCTTCGTGATGGATTGGAGGAGACTAGGTTTTTTCTGAGGAGGAAATGGAAAACGGGAATGGGAAGGATCAGGAAAAGGGAGGGACCTTATACTCGTTTTATAATTTCTACACATTTTTAAAATTAACTGTTGTATATGGGTTGGGTTGGGTTGGTCGGCTTCGGGTTGGGTTAAAGGGATAACCCATAACCCAACCTAACCGGACAGAAAATGGGAGAAATATAACCAAACCCAACCCATTTAATTGCAAAAATGGACCCAAACCCCTTTGACATGCTCATTTAGAGATATTCGACCGAATGTGACAAAATCTGACAATATTATGTTTCAATTGTATGTGATATAAACGGTATGGAGAATATTCGTATACTATTCGACATGCTCCTTTAGAATAGCATAAACGTACGACTACGCAAAGACAAACTCCACACAAACTTGAAATCATGTCAAATTACGCCAAAAATACCTCATTTCTTCACTCTCTTCGCCCTCCCCCTGGTGTACGGAGTCTTTGTAGATACAGTAGGACGTCGGACGCGTGTCGATGGTCGCCTCTTTGTGGTGGGTGGGTCATTGCATTGCACGGGTATGCTGGCCTCCCCCAGCATGTTTGTCGCACTGCCTACAAAACAATTCCACTTTAATTAGCACTTCATCCATTTGCATCACGAATTTGGGTTAGGGTGACATGATGAGTTCTCCATCGCAAAGTACTTACCATCCACCTCAGCTACGCCACTAGCGGATGCAACAGGTTTGTCCAAGAGGTTCCCTGAACCACTGGAAGACACTTCGTCATCGTGACTGTTCTTTTCTGGTTCGGAATCCATGTGGCATCCACCTAGTATGAAATTAACATGCGACGAAATATTACTAACACTGTATACTTCAAACAATCGAGAATACATACTAGTGCATGAGGTCATACGTAAGTAAATGATCCAAATATTACGCATTACTCTAACCAGTGAAATAGAAGTAATCCACCGTAGTGTATGTACCGTCCGCCTTGGCTACGCCAGTAGGGGACGCAACACCGTCGTCCTCACGTTTCCCTGAACCACCGGAAGTTACGTCACCGTCGTCACCGTTCGGTGCTGGTTCGGATTCCATGCCGGCTCCACCTACGCATGAGTACCAACATACCCAATATTAGAAATCGCGTGTCATTTAGGGTTTACAGTATACACACTTCCGAATGAAGTGAGACCTATGTAGGAAATCAAATATTATGCGTTACTTAAGACACGTACCGTTCCGCTCTTGCATTTCCTTGTCCACATCTTCGTCATGATCGACCGGCAACGGGGAGAAGCCTCTTCCATGCACTATAAAAATAACAATTGCAAAAACGTAAGGGGGTTACGTATTTGCTAGTATCAAATAGTAAAGAAGACATGAAAATGTATACATAGTAATTGATACACATACCTTGCGGTTCCTCACATTCCGGGACAGGGTCGGTGTCGCCTCCATTTCCGTCTAAGTCACAAATCCCATGTGTACTCAATGTCAGCAAACATAAGTAACATATAGTAGATAACAATTTAAATGCAGTACACATACCATGCACTGAAGTAGCTAAAATTGTAGGCTCGTTTGCCGCCTGAGCCGTGGGTGGAGTACTTCTAGAGGGAGCTGGGGGGACGAGGGTAGAAATGAAGTCCTTGACCTTCACAAATTCATCGGTGACGTGCTGCATAATCACAAGCTTCACTGTGCGCAGGTGAATTTTGATGAACGTTCTTTGATCGAGCAATAGTTCCTCCACCTCGTCTCTCGTGAGGCTCGCACCAGAGGTTTGACCTTGTCGTACATGAGATGTGGAGGGTGCATGAATGGGAGAAGTACGTCTGTGCATGGGGCGAGAGGAATATGTCCCAGTCTGCGGTGTACGAGTGTGGTCGTCCTCACTGTCCCCACCGTCTCCCTCGTCCGAGGCCTCTCCATTGTTGTCTCCACTCTTATCACCTCCAGTCTCCTCACTGGCTCCCTCGTCCTCACTGTCCCCCGACTCATCATCGTTCTCGGAGCCTCCTCCACTGGAAACCATTGTGCACTCCCCCTTGAGTTTCCAACATTCCCCCCCCCACTGGGCAAAGGATCTGGGTGAAGCTGTGTAGGGATAATGTCCCTTGCAACATCGTCCAACATAGGTACAGTACGATCTTCAAACGGCAGGAGGGTGGAGATACATGGTTGTCCAAGCTCAACTTTCGTGGGACGAAGCGTCGCGAACACGTGCAGCTGCAACATAAAATAAATTAATGTCACCGAAAATGTAACGAGTAACGACACATGCAGATCGCATGCATGAAACGCAGTCCAATACCTTAATGTTTTTGAAAAATGCATCATACGTCCGATGTTGCGACTGTTTGGTACACGTCCAACTCAGAAGCCGTGGGGATTGATGACCCAATCGTCGAGCAAACCTATCCCCAATTTCTGGTATTGCCTCGAATGCCCAGATCTGTTACAGCAGATAGTAACTGTGAGTTGAACATTAAAGGAACCAATGACAATACATTTCTGATGAAATAATGAATACGTTGTACAAAATTTGTGTGTAGTACCTGCATGGCAATGGGGAAGCCGTGAACTGTATAAGTAACCGCCTTCTCCTTCTTATTTGTGGCATCTACAAATTTTCGTCCCAGTCTGCATCGGAAGCCCCTTATTAGACGAATGTACGATACTCTACCCCAAGGGTAGAAATAGAACATGTCCACATCGTCCACGATCGACGGCGTGGGAAGTTCAATACCGGCATGGCTATCCGGAGCATTGAACACTCTTTCGATGATTAGAGCAAGCCCGAACTTATACCGATCTGCTCGGGGCGTCGACGGCCAGAGAAATGCCTTCTCAAGTTCACCACACGAAATCCTCTCCGTTGATTTGAAGTATTTATCCTTCAACCTCTTCTTTTGTAGAACTCGGTCTATCACGGCGTCATCTGAAAGAAGACCACACATTAAACCCATGACGAGAGCATACTCTTGCAGGCCAAACCTGGCTAAGTGGCCTTGCCCTTTAAACCATATTTCGCTGGCCTTTTCAGTTCATATGCAGCGAAAAACGAGCTGCTGGATTAGTTGGGCTGAGAATTGGAGATCTCGAACCTCGGATAAGAACCCTAGGCATGAGTTACGGAAGTCCGTACGCTGCCGCTCATCGAAATGCTCCAGGACTGTCTTCACGTACCGTAGATTGCTTCGCTGTGAGATGTGGGCCCTCAGCCGCGCATTTTTTGGAACCAGATATTCAAAATCCATGCACCCTCCTGCAGTTGAACATAAATTTAATACGTCAGATGGTAGTATTTGAAGACACACGACACGTCGGGACGGAAATAATAGAACCACATTTCAACGAACAAGGTGCATTGACTAATCAATCAACAAATGTCCGGATCATAGCATTGCAATTATGTTAATGCAAAAGCACACATGCAATGTTGGCACCACTATACAAATCGTGAGATCATACGTTTGAGTAATAGTAATGTGAAACACACGTATGATGTTGCAACGACGGATCAATGAACAAAATCCTGACATCATAGCATAATAGTATTTTTAATGCGAAACTTACGTGCACTGTCGGAACCAAAATTCAACTTGCATAACTAGGGAACAAATGAACTCTCATTCCCGACAGTTCATCGGTGGAGAGGCTCATCTGTCGAGAATTACTGAGCCTAACTATCGGGAACGACAGTTCATCTGTCAATTATTCCATCTGTCGAGAATTTTTGTTGCGAACTGTTGGGAACGACACTTCGTTGGTAAGTCATTTAACACTTCATGTCAGTGCATGGAGAGTGATAGTGTAAAACATTGTGTACATTTTCGAAGTAGTGCATGATACAGTTTTCGACGTGCAAATATGATAAGTACACATCAACGGTCATAGCCAGACTACAAAACACCAGCTCTAACTTAGACAATAGCAATTCAAGACAATATCAATTGAAGACAACAATGTACAAATATGCTAAGCCAAAACACCAACTTTGACTAAGACAATAGCAATTGACGACAAAACTGTAGTAAGCAAAACATATCTAATATTAGGAAGCACAAAATGTAAATTAATCAACTCACATTTCAAACTGTAAACACTCAAAACTTCTGAAATTCAAAAGTTATGTCGGTTTGCACAATTCTGATTCAAAAACAGAGGGAATGAATTGTATGTCCTCGATTGGGATAAAACTGTTCCACAATTTTTGTATTTATATTTATGGCTTGAAATCTTTCAAAATCCATCATATTCTATCTAATCAACGAAATCCTTTTAAATCAACTAGTAATCGAGGACACCTAAATTTAGAAGTATTTCTAAATATCTAGATTGAGGACACTCACATTTTAATGAATTATATTTTACTCTAAATTGAGAAAACTTCAATTTATATTGAGTTTTAAAATCCATGAAACTCTATATTGAGGACACCCCACTTAATCTTTCTCCTTTCCTCAACTACTTCTATAGACGAGGTGTAATGAGCATACTGCCATATGTAAATGCAGTGTATTTATGAGTGAACAAGACCCAGTCACCATCACTTATCAAAACATGAAAAGAAATGCAAAAAGAAATACAACAGTTTCATCAAGATACACTTGATGAAACGTGGTATTAATGCACGTGGTATTCATTAGACTATCTCAGTAGGCACTGATGAACGGGTTCCAGACAACAAGAATGGAACTTGGTTCAGCCTCTGCTTCTTCTTCTTCATCTACTTCTGGTAGGTCAGAATCACTCAATGGCTTGAAGTTTGGCAAGAAAATCTACTTTGAAGATGTAGGTGTTGGAGTGCAGGACAAATTTGGTGGTGGGCCGCCTTCACTGCCGCCCAAGGCCGCCGGACTACCTCCCCCATCACCTACTAAGAAGAGGAGAAGCGGCGTGGTGCAAGGTGGCCAGCCACCAAGGTGCCAAGTGGAAGGGTGTGAGGCAGATCTGAGTGGTGCTAAGGCTTACTATTCAAGGCACAAAGTGTGTGGTACGCACTCCAAGTACCCAAAGGTCATTGTTGCAGGCCTTGAGCAAAGGTTTTGCCAGCAATGAAGCAGGTCAGCTTTGTTTTTTAATTTCCTTTTTTCTCCTTTTTAAAAGAAAAATAAGTACATCCTTTGCCTTATTTAAATGTATACGCATGAGCATGCACACAATAACTTAATTACTGATTTTGTGTGCACACTTGCATATAGTTTATTTGCTACTTTTCTAGAATAATCCTTTTTTTTCCCGTTTAGTTTCATCTTATTGTGTGGATAATGTTTTTGTTGAATTTGATTGTTCGTGTCAAACTCATTGTGTTAAATTTGTCACTACAATGGTGTGAATGATCACAGACTTGCAGTAGACTCTCTGCTCGGGAGTTGGTTTTGTTGATAGTGTTGCTATTCACTTCCTTATCCGAAGGCCTTTTAAAATTTATTCAAGATTTCGGTTGTGACATTGGTGAACTTTAGTGGCATGTTTGATAAGATTGACCATAAAATGTTGGAAAAGGCTAAGAAAGAAAAATAAGCTGAACTTTTGTTCGTTGTATTTTTAGGTACCATATTGATGGAGATCAAGATAGGAATAAAGAAGGAGTTATAGGTTAAATAGAAGTTTAGAATAGAGTTTAATTTCAATTAGATTAGATTAGATTTATTTTGATATAATTATAGTTTATTAGAAGTTTTTTTCTTCTTAACTTCTTCTTAGGTTATTTACTCCATAAATAGAGGGGCTTATTCATTGTAATTAATAAAGATTGATTTTCTTGTCCTCAAAATTTCTCTTCTCTGGCCCACCTTTCTTTTTGTTATTTCTCTTGTTTATTAACAAATTATATGCTCCTGCGTCAATTTCGTATTAGTGAAATTCGTTCTCATTTGACCTATGCCTTCTCAAATCCAAACACCCAACCTCACCTTTTCCATCCAATTCATACATGCCGTAACCTTTCAATACCCATCCAAACTCTATAATCACTTTCAACCAACCTTAGAATAGCAGAAAATACAAGAATCCTATTGGAAGTAGTAGCAGTTCTTACTTCGTTCTAGTGGTTTACATCAGTTAAAAAAACATAAAAACGTCGGAACTGTTTACTAGAAAATAGTAGTGCAATTTAGGTTTCAAATGTTTCGTGATAAGTTGCCTACATAAAGAATCATATTGTAGGACATGAAATATTTAATACTTTTCTATGGGTTTTAGACTTTTAGTAGGTGCCGTATGATAGTAAATTTAGCTACCAATCCTTTGTTTTCTTGTGCTATGCTGATTGTTTGGTGATCTTTTAATAGCTAATATGTTATTTCATAAGTAATGCAACATTAAAAGAGATTTTATTATATTTAGTTTTTAGTTTTAAAATATATTTTACGAAACATTATTATGGCTGATTTACTAGCTTTTATTAGATATTTCTTTCTTAGAATAGAATCTTTAAAACCTATATAAAGGAATCTTTTACATTGTAATAAGGACAACTTTTGAATGAATAAATAATTGATATTTTCTTGTCCTAATTCTTATGTATTTTTGCTGCTTTGTTGGAGGTCAGGCCTCTGCCCCTCCCCCCATGTATGTAGTATGGTCAGGGATCCTAACCCACATCATCCTCCTTTGGAGGAGCCTAAAAACACTCTGAGGATGAGTTGATGATTAATAAATAAAT